ACGTGGATTTAGTGAGAAAGGAACATTCATACATTGTTGGTGAGAATGTAGATTGCTTCTACCACCACAAAAAACAATATAGAGTTTCCTTAAAAAAATTTTAAAAAATTAAAAAATAGATCTACCATACGATCCAGCAACTCCACTTCTGGGAATATACCCAAAGACACTGAAAACAGGATTTCAACAAGGTATCTATACTCCCATATTTATTCACAATAGCCAAGATATGGAAACAACTCAAATGCCCGTCATCATATGAATGAATAAAAAAGAGTTGGGTGTATATATACAATGGGACATTATTCAGCCATGAAAAAGGAAGATATCTTCCTATTTTTGACAGTATAGGTGGAACTTGAGCACATTATGCTAAGTGAGAGAACTCAGAGAAAGACAAGTACTGTATCACTTATGTGGAATCCAGAAAAATCAAAGCTATAAAAAAATAGAAAGTAGATGGTGGTTATCAGGACATGAGGGGTGAGAGCTATACAAATGATGACATCTAAGGGTATAAACTTGTAATAAGTAGTAAATCAGCCATAGATATATAATTCACTGAATAATGAACATAGATAATAATATTATACTATATTTATATAATATGATAAATACTGCTTCAACGTTAATCATATTACAATATATCAAAGTGAAATGCTCTATGCCATAAACATACAAAATGCAACATGTCAAATTTACTTTGGGGAAAAGAAAAAAAAAACAGAGATGGGGGGGGGGAATGTAAAGATCCATTTATCCTTAAAACTAGCTGCAATCATTAAGTTTGTTAGTCATCATGACCGGCTCTGAAACAAAGCACCAGACAGCTTATGCAACCAGGCACAGAGAGAGAAATGTAAGGCAATTGAAATATTTTGTGCATAAAAGGGAATGTTCTTTTTAAAACAGTAAACAGACAATACTCTCTTAATAGTGTACTGGAAGGTAAAAATAGTCTTGGTGGTACTGGGCAGAGCAACAAAATGGATTTATTTTCTACCCAAACTCTTCAGGGTTGCTAAGTTATCCTCCTAATGTAAAAGCCTGCTGGGAAAGACAAGTTCCAGGGACACAAATGTGCTTGTGTGCCATATGAACGAACAGGAAAAAGGAAAGATCCTACACATTAGAAACTCGACTGCATGAACTCTACCTGAGACAGGGTGTAGACAGTGAAAATGAGATGGAAACGCAGAAGAAGGATAATGTAATTGGAAAGAACACCAAGTGTGAAATTAGGAATGAGTCCAGTAAACTTTTCCATTAATGGCTGTCTTGTATTTCAAAGGCTCTATCATGTTGCTCTTGATCAGCTCTCAGCCTAATTTGCTGAGTCATAAATGATCATTAAGACCAACTTTTGCTTTTATATACTCTTTGCATCAATTTCCTAAAGAAAATAGGAAACTAAAAAAATAGAAAACTGAATTTGCTTCCTTGTTCTTTTGGAACTTAATTTGTAAAGACTAAAAATCCAAAGCAAATTAAATATGTAATGGCATAAAATTCATGGACGAATTTGGTTTTCTGTACACCAAATTTTCTAAAGATAAAAATTTATTTGTGATGTGAACCCAATGAATCTTGAATACCCTTAAATGAAGACCACATCTGCTATAGAATGCACACTGTTATCTTAATGTATGGTCAGTTACCAAGTTAAATCATCAGTTCTTACTTATTATGGTATCTTAGTATTTTGAATTAAAAGTGTTCCTTATGAACCTTTAATCCTGAGTCCCCTTATAATGATCATTCATCCTTTTAAACATTCTGATGACAGGGAACTCACTCCCCACCCAGCAGCCTGCCTCACTATGGGCATCTCCAATTCTGAAACATACTTCTTTTTCTTTTTAAGTTTATTTATTTGAGAGAGAGAGAGCACAAGACAGCATGAGAGAGGGAGGGAGGGAGGAAGAGTGAGAGAGAGAGAGAGAGAACCCCAAGCAGGCTCCAATGCTATCAGTGCAAAGCCCGACGTGGGACTCTATCCCATGATCCATGAGATCATGACCTGAAACCAAGAGTCAGACACTTAACCGACTGAGCCATCCAGCTACCCCTGCCACATACTTCCAGTGGTGATCTGACCTGGGCCTCCTTGGAACTCCACTCCATGGCTTTGGCTCCACTTCTCTGAAGGTCCAGAGAATAAACTCAGTTGTTGTCACATTTTCAGTGCCATTCCATTTTCATGCTTGTATCCCAAACTTGTTGACTCCACCTCCAACTTGCCATGGGAACAGCCCCACTTCTCTCCATCAACACCACCACTACTCCAGTCAGATTCCCCATCATCTTCTGGCGGATAGCTAGATCAGCTTCCCTTCGCTCCCCCATTCCTTCCTGTTTATTCCCCACAGAGCAGCCAACATGATCATTGCTATAGAAGAAATTTTCACTATATGCCATAAATAACCTTAAATTTTCTCCTCAGTACTCAAGATAAAAATTCAAAACCCTCAACGTGACCTAGTTGATCAGGCCCCCCCGTCTGCCTCCCCAGGCCCTAAGCATTCTTTGGCTATTCTCTCCCTTACTTGGCATGCCACATCTCCAATTTCTTTTAGTTCCTCAAACTAATAAGTTCTATGCTGGTCTATGAAATGTTTTCTCTACTCTGTTTACTATTTGAGATTTAGTGGTTGTTTAGATCTCAGATTACATGTTCTTTCTAAATGGGAACTTCCCCCAAGTCCCTAGACTAGGCCATGTCCTTCCTGACTCTCATTGCTTCCTTTACCATTCCTCATCAAAACAGAACTTGTTTTATATACTTAATCCCGTAAATAGTAACACTAATATTATTAATAACAATACCTAATTTTACTGATGGTTCATGAATGCTGGCACTATGCGAAAAGCACTAGAAGTATTATCCTATTTAGGCTTCGGAACAAGCCCATGAGTAGTTACTATTGCTACCTGTACATCACAGATGAGGAAGGGGGTTGACTGGAAGAGTAGGGATTAAAATATAGCTGATTCTAGAACCTACTAATGTTCTTAACCTTTACATGTAATATTGATATCTGACTCCTCCACTAACCTGTTAACCTCAAGACACATGGATACCAGTAGCCAGGGAGCCTGTCAGAAGCAAATTAAGGTCTCGTTTGCCCAGTGTCACAAACTCAGAATAACGTCTCTGTACATTTTCTCTGCACCATCCTTTCCCTCCCCTGGTCTTGATGGGACTCAAATACCTATGAAAAGGAGAAATTAAGTGAGCAAATCTGGTATTCTTGTCCTCACATCTCCAGAGACTTCTTGAATTTTTTAGGCACTTTCCAGAAAACAAATAGCAGATAATAGGATCAAATTGTGGAGACAAGCAATTTAAATACATTTGTCTGGATTCATTAGCAGCAGGGCATGATCTAATATATGCAGAATTCAGATTATTCCAAAAGGGGTTTCAGCTCATTTCCCATAATATTAACAATGATAATTGCCAATATTGCTTAAGATTTACCATTTGCCAGGCTCTATGCTAAGTGATTTTCATAGTTACTTTGTATAATTATCACACCAGCCTGATGAGTTTGGTATTATTACAGCCCCCATTTTAACTGGATGAGGGAACAGAGATGCAGAAAGATGGTCCAATGTTTGTTCAGAGTCTGCAGTTAGTGAAATTCAGCCCCAGCTGGGCCTGGGCCCCTTAACTGTAGGAGAGCATTGCACTGAACAAGGGAAGATTCAGGATCTAATCCTACAAACTGTGAGAGCCGCTAGTAATGCAAATGATGCGCTCGAAGGAGAAAGTGAAGGGAAAACATCTCTTACATTCCATCAGAGGTGGTGCCACGTGCTGGGGCCGGTACAGAACCAAGTTTAAAGGGAACTGGGCAGGACAATGGACAGATATTCTCTCTGGGGGGAGTCTGGGATTTCTATAATAATAATAATAATGAGGATTTGACTGAGCCTGATGGTGCAGATACATAATCTTGAGCCAACTTAGGAACATACATTGGTATGGAGATAACAGCCAGAAAACAAGTCATTTATTCATACGACCAGTATTTTTTAAGGGTCTGTCTTGCACTAGGCACTGCCCTAGGCACTGAGGAGCTATGAATTCTCATTCATAGCTGGAGAAGAGCCTGCTCTTGTAGAGTTTTCCTTCTGGTGGGGACAAGGCAGACAATAAAGAAACAAGTCTGCAAGCACCTGTCTAACATGTCAAGGGATGGGCGTCCTGAGCTTTATAAAGCAGAGGGCCAGAAAGCAGAGGCTGTGGGGACATCAGGCAGAGCCATGAATGAAGTGGGGTCTATGCGTGCACGTACGAGAAGGAAGAGAAGTTCAGGAAAAGGGAAGAGCGAGGACCAAGGTCCAGAGGCAGTCGCACGCCGGGACTCGCAGGGAGCTCCCTGTGGCTGGCACCGAGGGAGCAGAAGAAAAGTGGGAGGGAAGGGGGACAGGTCAGCGGGGACAAGCCCTGTGAGGTCAGAACTTTGTGGATGCAACAGGAAATGACTTTCATTAAAATCCCCCTATATTGACGGCTGGAGCACTTCTTTCTGACTTTCTCTGAGAAATTATTATGCAACATAACATTACAATTTAAAAATAGAAGTGAAAAAGTGCTTGCAGTTTTATCATCTTACATGGCCTTTTCCAGTTTCCCATGTCCTTGTCTAGCCTTTTCTCACATCTGTGCATATATTTGCAGTTTTTCTCAGAGTTACAAACAGCTTTACATCCTGTTTGCCTTAGTTAGCTTCTTATCATATTTGTGTTACAGCCTGATACAAAGCCGCCTGAATAATCATTCTAATGGCTACGTGACACTGCAAATGCATAGACCACTTCCCCACGGACACTTCAATGGCTTCCCAATGGTTGCCATTACTGATGATGCACAAATATTTTTCCAGGTTTGGATTACTTGGGAGCCCTTCTTCGTGAATATTGATACAGAAATTCGTAGAGATGTATGAGGTATTTCTTGATCCCTATGGGTTTGGAGTTGGGAGGATAATTACCTGCTGATGGTATCCGTCACTTTCTCAGAGTAGGTGCCTTCTGGCACTGGTTCATATACGGCCTCCACTATCTGCAAAACAGACAGACTAGCGTGATGGACATAAAGATGCCATTAATACCTCCAATACTTGGCCACAACATGAAAGCTACTCAGTAGGCATTATGACCGTGTGCAAACTTTCATCAGAAGCAAAAACATCCCAACAAAGAAAAAATTAACATCAATCAAACAGTTCTTGAGCACAGACTGTATTCTTCAAGCTGAGTTAAAGTTAGCCTCCGATTCATAATATAGGAGATAATGTTCCGGATAATGTGTAGGATAATATAATGCGCCGATTGTAGGCGATCCAAACCACAATTAAAAATAAAAGACCAAAAGTAATTTGATAGATTTATTTGTATAATTTTCTATGATAAATGAAGACCATTGTAGGGGAAAATGTGCCTTAGCCCATGATGTATATTTAGAAGAAAGGGGGCAAATAATGAACTGGATCATGTGGTTAATAAAACAATGTGCCTGCTTTTAATTGACATTTTCATAAAAGCCACAAATGTTCTATTTAGGAGGAAAAGAAGTGGCATTTTTAGCAACACAAGACCCTTTTGTCTCCCAACACTGCTTACTTTTGTAGCCAGGGAGAGCATGTTGGTGCTGTAGAAGGGGGGATTCAGAGTTGCCATCTGATAAAGGATGCAACCAGCCGCCCAGACATCAGCCTTCTCCCCGTATGGCTCGCTCTTCAGTACCTCAGGACTGAGTTAAAATAAGGATGTTAATAGATGCTGAAAAAGGCAGAAGAAAGCAGCACAGAAAAAAAGTCCAATTTTCAAGCAACAGTTGGAGATATGAGGTGAAAAAAATTGAAACTCTTTATCACTAATTCAAGTAAAATAATAAAAACTGCCTTTGAATTCTCTCAGACTCAGATGAATCAAGAAGCACAATCAAGCAGTTCCATTGTAAGCATGAAATATCAATGAACCATATAACTGCTGCCTATTTAGTGCCCAAGGAAGTTGTTTCCAGAAGCAATCGCCCATCTGTGGTAGAAGGAATTGTTGGCCCCAGCTCTTGACTCTTCTGGAGAGTCTGCACATCTCACCCTTACAATGGCCTCTTGGGCAGTGGTCACTACCGACTTCTGCCTTTGGTTTGGTTTTGTGTTGCTCTGGCCAATGGAATGCGGAAATGACAGTGAGCCAGACCAGAGCCTTTGTCTTAGCAAATATTGAGTGCTTTCATTTGTCCTTCTAGGAGGTTCTTCCATTACCATGAGAAGAACATATCCCAGTGGCTGTTGTCCCACTAGCCTGGGTCCAGCATAAAATACATGGAGGAGATCTGTCCCAGACACTATAAACCTACAGCCTGAAGGAAGGAGGGCTTGCCCAGAAGACCCAGACCTATGGGTCTAACCATAACTGCTTATTGTTGAATGCCACTGACATTTTTGTGATTTGTTACACTGCACTATGGGATAATTGACCAATACAGCCCTGTCCCTTTGTTCTTCAACTGTAGCCTATAAAGTAGGAAGAAGACCATATTGAAGTATGTTGCAGAAAATGACATCCATCCTGTTCGTCTCTTCTGAAATCACATTTCCAATCTGGACATGGATGCTGTCAGCCTTTAAATGAACTTAAGCTGTGAGAGTTTATGGTTTTGACATTTTTTAAATAGAGGGGAGTGCAATTCCCCTGGGTATTTTGGAGTAATAGAAGTTTCCTCTTTCATATTTGTAGAGGGAAACTCAGCAAAGGGTTGAAAGCACTTAATATGCACACATCATAAATTAAGTAGTTTAGCAATTTGGTTCTATGATATGTATGTAGGACTGTGCGCAGCCCTTTATTTACATAAATAGAGTAGGGATTAAGGGTTAGCTTTGGTGGTGGACTAAGGTATAAAGAAATTGATACTGTAACAACCAGAGTAGATATAAATCAATGTTGACTATTAAGACTATCTGAGAAGTTGCTATTTTTGTGAGATCATGAAAAAGAATTCCTGGTTTTAGATTTACGTTATGTGCTTACAGAAGCAGGTATAATTTCTAGGTCTCTCAGTTGAGCATTTTCATATTTAGTATTTTTGAGCTCAATAACATGGCGATGGGGGAAATGGGAATGAAATTTCCAGGGCTCTGCTGGTTCCAACTGTATAAAAAGTGTCTCCTGTTGTCACCTATCAACTGTTCACATTTACAAAAAATGCCTTAACAAGAAATAATGTCCTCAAGAGAAAATAAAAATGTCCTTGACTCCCCACAGACAAATCTCTCGTGTTTTAATCTACAGAATTCAGAGGATTTGTCTCCTATTTCCAAAGGCTTGTGAAGCAGATGCTATGAGTGTTCCACCCATTTTTCCTAGCCTTTTTTCCATTTCCTGTTCCCGGAATGCTTTCACTCTCAGCAACCAGCATCTGTACTTCTTTGGGAAATAGCCTTCATTTTTTGCTCAAAACATAATTACTCAACCTGGGGGAAAACACTTGTAAGAATAGAATTTACTCAGTTGATTGTTCTCATCATCCTATCTCCTCCTTCTCACTAGAGACCACAAACCCCTCTCATTCCGACAGGCATGCCCCTTCGCACCGTGGCTTTGCAGCTCCCATCAAGGGGTGGGGTCTATTTTTCCACCCCTTGAATCTGCACTTGATATGACTTGCTTTGGCCAAGAAGATACCAGCAATAGTGCTATAAGGAAAAACTTAGAAAATACTCTTTGGGGCTTTCTCTCCCTTCCTGCCCTTGAAAATCCTTTGAACACAGCCAGGTGACTGAGCCCAGGTTTGCCTGCTGGATGATAATACATGGCCCAATTACCTCCAGCACCACTTCCCATGGCCAGTCCACCACCAGACCTGTGAGTGAAGCCATTGGAAATTTGGTGACCACACCTCCCGAGCCCAGTCAATACTCTAATCAGCAGTCCTCACTGAGACCAGCCCAATTTGCCAACATCCAGTGTACTGATGTTTTTAAGAAGTTTGTTGTATTAAGTCACTAAGTTTTGAGGCAGTTTGTTGAAGTTAACTGTTATAATAGATCTCATCAGATTCTCAGAGCTGTGCATGAGCCCCTGAAAAAAAGACCAAGAATTATTTCTCTGGAAAAGAATTAAGAAACGGAAATGAGAGACAAACACAATTGCCAACTATCATATCACTTTGCTTCTGGGATAAACTTCAAATATCCTCTGAGGTAAGAGTTTCATAATCACAACCAAAAGCAATGAACAAATAGAATGCAGAGTCTGATTTCTAGAAGCCACAACAAAACGTTGTTATGGTCTTAACCGTGTCCCCCCATCCCCAAATTCATATGTCAAAGTACAAGTCCCACTACCTTAGAACGTGACGATATTTTACAATAAGTTCTGTACGAGATGATCAAGTTAAGATGGCGCCACCAGGATGGGCCCTACTCCAATGGGATTGGTGTCCTTCTCCCCATGAGTATGTACAGACAGAAGAACCACCAGGCGAAGAGGCAACAAGAGGGGGGAATCCTGGCATGTGCAAGCCACAGGAGACAGGCCTCAAAGGAAACTGAACTGGCCAACACTTTGATCTTGGCCTTCCAGCCTTCAAAACTGTGAGAAAAGAAATTCAAGCCACCCAGTCTGTGGTATTTTGTTAAGGCAGACTTAGAAAGGCAATGAAGGTTCTATGAGAAAACCTACTTCCGTGTTTTGCAACTTCAAAAGAACCCAGCCTTTTGGAAATATGGCTAATTTCATTGATTCAATCACAACTTAACAATATCATATAAGGTGTTTGGTGATTATTATTTGAAAATCATTGTAAAATAATTTGTTGTCTTGAAATAATTTCCAATTTCTCCACTTAAGGCGAGCCCAACTACATTTAGAAAAATACAGAGATTTACAGCTAGTAATGCTTCCTTTAAGAGAAAAACATTAAATAGTATACACACACAATTTAAAATGGGGTTTTCTAGTCTTAATTTGTCCTAAGGTACAGTATTCAATCTAGTAAATATTAAAATGTATTAGTTTAGTGAAGGTTATTTATATACCATTGTACCAGAAAGCCATGGTTGGATTGACTGTGTGCATTCATCAGAACTTACTTTCTTTGGCTGTGAATAAATGAGATAAAACTGTTTTGTTCTAAATTGTAGGTAGAAGAAACTGGGATAAGATTGAAAATGCTATTGCCAAAAACATTACTAAATTGGTTAGTTCTTCTGTCTACAACAAATGTTTTAAGAGAATTCTTTTAAATGGTTGACATTGATGTGGTCATTGGTGTGATGCATGTTATTTAGAAGGAATATTAACTTCAACAATCACTTTACAAGAGTTTAAACATGGAGAAAACTGTACGCCTGTAATTTTGTTATAAAATGTTTGTTGCATTTCTGAGCCCACTTTGTATTCATGAGAAACAAAAATATAATGGGAGAAATATTTTAAATTACCAATATTTTAACTTTAACTTTTTACATAGTTTGGGACTTTAAAGTATCAACAAAGGATGTTGAAAATATACATACCTTTGCTTTAGTCAAATTACTTTTCATTGTCTGATTTCTTAATTTTAGCTTTTTGAAATCTTGTGAATTAAGAATATCTATATCTATAAATATATAGATATTTAAAACTTAATGATAACAATAAATGTAATTCAGCAACAACAACAAAAAATAAATAAAATGGGGCTTTCTTTTTTCCAAACAAAAACATTATTCTGCATTTTAAAAATGGTTATTCCTATGTGACCCAATCATATAAAATCTTTAGTGATGAAACAAAACATAACTTAGGCAATATTAAACAAAAATAGGGGCTCTTCTGGCAAAGATTAAAATATTTACGATTAAGTGTGTAAAAGTTACAGCCATAGTCAGTTATATGTCAATTAAAAAAGTATTTATTGTTACCATTACATGGTGACTGCAATTAATCATAATGTATCATACACTTGAAATTTGCTAAAACAGTAGATCACAAGTATTCTCATAACACACACAAAGAGGTAACTATGTGAGGTGACGAATATGTCAATTAACTTGACTGTGGTAATTATTTCACAATGTGTAAGTATACTGAAACATCACATTGTATACCTTAAACATATACTATTTTTAATTGTGAATAATACCTCAATAGTGCTGGAAAAAAATTTAAGTGAAGCCAGGGGTAGTAAAGGGTTAGGTGGATGACAAGGAACAATGTGCATTTATTATAAACATCTTAATAAATAAGTAAATATAACTCATAGCCTGAGGAGCCTTTCAGATGGGCCTGGACACTAAGCATCACCTCTGTTTTTAGTAAGTCATAAATTCACAAACTGATAGTGAAAACAAGGTAGATGAAAGATGAGGTTGAAAGGATGCTTAATCTAATTTTTTAAAAACATAAACTTTTTGTATAGATTTTTAAATTCCACTATCAGTCCTTCTCTGACATATAAACAATTAAGTTGCTAATTGCTAAGGATTCTTATTTACAAAGTGAGGTAAACAAGAAAAGCATCGGACCCAGATGTCTTTTAAAACATTTTAAAATATGAATATTTTGATAGCTCTTAAATAATCTGATAATATGATGATTCTTATAAGTTTGGAGGGGGGACTTTTTCCTTTAAATGGACCAAACTAAATAAAATTAGTTAAAAGGTTTCTTGTGTAAATAAGTGTATTCCTTTTTCCCAGAGAAGTCATATTGTTGTCTTTGTTAAGTTTGATTATTGGTACTCACGCTGTCAGCACATGT